GCAAGAGGTAGGGTGATTCTGACAAAAATTAAGTGTTGATGTTCAGCTAGATGGAAGGAAGCCTCAAAATCTAGAGCACTTTTGATACTCCTAACTGGCTAATTATTTTTCAAAAGAAATCACCTTTCCCCAAAGGTAGTTCTGAGAGGCAGATCCATTTGGAAGTGGCTGTTGGCAGGCAGCCTATTAGAAATTTCTACTCTTCAAGCCCATTGAAGCAAACAAGAGCTGCATTTTTATTATTTCTTTCCAAAATCTCAACACATGTAGACGTGATTGTGTGTCCATGTGCCCCCTTCCCATTTATCTTCTTAGCAGCTCTGTAAGGTAGGATAAAAAGTAACCAAAGTGTATCTTTCAGGGAGGAGGGTTTTTATATTATTTCTTCTGCCATGGAACTTTGATAGAGCCTCTGTCTTCAGGAGCAGTCTATCTTTGAATTGCTGTTGCTAAGGGCAAACATGCCCAAGGACCTGATTCAGCAATGCTGCTTTTGTGTTCTTTCTTACCATCCTCTGAATGTTTGCGCTGAAATGAAAAAGAACTGTATTTTAAACTTGCCTTTCCATGGATGTTGTGACAGTTTGTTTGCAGCCTTAATTCTATAATGTGCGTTGGCTCCAAATATTCAATAGGTTTGACCGCTCCTGATGCATCAGTGCGACTCAGTTTGAGATCCAACGGTGGCCCAAAAGCATCAGTCCATTCATGTCTCCTTCCACTCAGTTTGATTGTGTCCTGTGATGTGTTTTCTGCTTTTTCCTTGAATGCACCCCAGCTTTTATATTGATGATCTGTGTTTTTTCTCTTCTCCTTTCTCTCTCCTTCTCTCTTTCTCTCTCTAGCTTTTTCTAATCTGTCTCCACCTGCTGCATTATGTCTGAGGGAGAAGATTTCCACATGCGGAAACGTTTAGGGATTCCCACCCTGCTCGGGAGAGGGAGGGGGAGGAACGAGAAAGTCTTCAGATCTTTGGAAAGACTTGGTTTTGTTTATTTTCCCATTTTTCTGATGTGCATGGAGTGTGTTGAAAAGCTGAGGCATCTTGTGGTTTATGCAACAAAACAGGAAAAATACCGGAGCAATGAACGTCTGGTTTAGAGGTTCAAGGAGCAACCAAAAGATGGCGGACAAATTGATGACTAATTTGCTCAAACAACATTGAGACAGGTGTTTTAGTTTTTTAAAAGATTATTTTCTTCCTCTTTTGCCTCAATATAAATATGATGGGTGTTTTTAAAGTATCTGTGAAAAATTCTGCTAATTCATTGGTTTGCGTGGATTAAAAAAGACAAAACATGTTTTATGCAATGAACAGCAAACAGAGAAAAAGTGACTTTGCTACCTCTGAGGAATATTAAATTTTAACACTGTAGTTAAGGGCAGTGGGGAAAGAGTAAGGGGGGAAATATATTTTTCACTGGGATCATAGATAAACTCTGCCACTTCAGTAAAAAGTGATCAACTTGATTGAGTAATATTTGTAACATAAGTATTAAAAAGTTATCCTCCCGCTAAATTTACTGCAGGCCAGTGCACCATGGTGGCTGAGAATAAACAGTGATCCAAAAAGTGAACATATTCTCCAAACAGCACTTGCCTACCCTCCTCCATCTAGGAGCAGTAATACAGGGACGTGCTGAAGATGTTAAAGTACAGGAAGCTTAGGGGGAGGAAAACACGTAGGATGAAGAAGAAGTATTAGTCCTGTAGTAAATTAAATCCCAGAATGTCAACCCTCCTCAAAATCATTCTGGGTTGCAAAACTGACTTTATTGTTACTGATAACAAGGTTTCTGGAGAAACTAGTCAGTAATTGGTCATTTTGTTTTCAAAGTTAATCACGCAAGTCACATCTTACTGCCCTTCAAAATGCATTTTCAACCACTTTTGGAACTTTTCTGGAATGTCCACTGCATGGGGTCTAGTTCCCAGAACTTTATTCTCCTGTCTCTCCCCTTCTCTCTCCCCCGTCTTTTTAAAAATCTTTTTGTTTGTTTGTTTCTTTCTTTCTTTACAAACAAGAATTGTGATTTGACACTGCACTCTATCTATTTACATGACCCACATGAAAGAACCAGCACTGTTGAGCTTGCTATGTTTCTAATGTTGTCAATTTTCAATAAAAAGTGACCCTCCCAAAAGTTGGTGTTCTTTGGTGCTTATTTGATTATGCAGCCTCTTTAATGAATTGGATAACCTAAGTTGCCGTATCCTTTTGGTATATAGCATTGCATGGTACTTCCACAATATGCATACACTTAAATGACATGCTACTGATGGAATCTCAGTTTTCAATGTGTAAGGAATGAACACTCAGATTTCTGGGGAAGATCAAACATTTGAACCTCTGAGGCTTTATTGATCAGTGGCCCAGTACCTGCAGTAACTAACAATAACGCATTACTGGATAGAGGCAAACTCAACTGCAGAATCACAGCCCATGTGCCGACACTTTTATAACCTGCTAGATTTTATTTTCTTGGCCTCCAAGATCACCACAGATGGTGATTGCAGCCAAGAAATTAAAAGATGTTTGCTCCTGGGGAGGAAAGCTATGGCAAACCTAGACAGCATACTAAAAAGCAGAGACATCACCCTGCCGACAAAAGCGCATATAGTCAAGGCTATGATTTTCCCAGTTGCAATGTATGGCTGTGAAAGCTGGACAATAAGGAAGGCTGAGTGCCAAAGGATTGAGGCCCTTGAATTGTGGTGCTGGAGGAGACTCCTGCGAGTCCCTTGGACCACAAGGAGATCAAACCAGTCTGTCTTAGAGAAGATCAACCCTGACTGCTCTTTAGAAGACCAGATACTGAAGATGAAACTCAAATACTTTGGCCACCTAATGAGAAGGAAGGACCCCCTGGAGAAGAGCCTGATGCTGGGCCCAACTGATGGCAAAAGAAGGAGGGGACGGCAGAGGATGAGGTGGCTGGATGGAGTCACTGAAGCAGTTGGCGTGAGCTTAAGGGGACTCTGGGAGATGGTGGAGGACAGGAAGGCCTGGAGGAATGTTGTCCATGGGGTTGGGATGGGTCAGACGGACACGACTTCGTGACTAACAACGACAACAACAAAGTCACATACACCAATACAGAGTGTTCAGTTTCCAAATAATGTTAGTACAATAGCATCCTGATCTCTTTAGGCATGACATAATGTTCTAAACTGATGAGAAATACAATACAATAGTATTGTACAATACAATAGTAACAATAGTATGGAAAACATTATTGGTTGCTTTATTGATATGTCAATCTAGTAAATTCTTGACAGTTCAGGTCAGCCCGATGTGTCTGCTTGAACATGCAAATACATCTGGTTGAGGAACCACTTGGGGAAAACTGGTTTGACAACTACAGTGTGCAGGCGCCTGCCTCTGGGGAACTAGATGCTTAAGTGGGTCCACTCAGAAGTAAATGGGCACCATTGTCTCAGTTTTTCTGCAGCTGTTGAGAACACAAGTATTTCCTCACTAATAGTGCTAACCTATAGCAGCTTCTCAGTCCAATTAAGAATTCCATCTTCTTAAAATAACAGCAGCACTAAACAGTGACCTAGCTTGGAATTCTGCTGCTTTCTGAGAAAGGGGTGCAGATTTGATTTTATAACACAAAGGCACATAGAAGCAACCTTTTTCTCCCAGGATTTATCTGAATTTTCCCAACACTACTGATCCACACCGTATGTCAAACTATATTTGGGCTATAATCTTTAATTGCTTGGCCAAATTAGGTAATGAATGCTTTAAAAAAATCAGCTACACAGCATTCCAGCAAAATGGGTGACATATAATTGTTTATAATGTATATATAAAAAACACAGGTTACAATCACCATCTCAGAACGGTTTTCTTCTTCTGCAGGAGGAACTTCTAAGTCTACAATTACTGCAACATGCACATTTGAAACAAAATCATTTTTCTATTCAAAACCATTTTAGTAATTGCAAGTACATGCAGTTTTAATTGATCACAAAGTTTTAAACACTTTGGTCAATTTGCAGTGAAATCTTATGTACTAGCGATGAAATCCTAGCTAGCAAAGAAGTCAAACTGAGCTTAGCGGGGCTTCTTTCTTAGCGAAAATACTTAGATTGCCCTGTAATAATTAGATGTCATAACAGCATTAAACGTCTTCACAATAAGCCATTTATGTTTTCTACAATAATTATAGCATTCTGAAACCTTTTAAGACTGAACATGTGTTCTGCAAAAAGCTGTATTTTAATTTTATACTGGAAAATTACAATTGTTTTGTATTCTTCCAGTGTTGTCAGCAGTGAGGGTAAGCTGGACCTGACCCATCTTGGAGGCTGTATCTTCCATCACGTATTTCTGTTGGGATCTGAGATCCAGTGGCTTTATCCATGCTTAGTGTTCAGACATCAAGGGGGCAAAAAGTGTTTCTGTCTGCCCCCCTCCTTATTGTTACATTGCAGCGAGATATTTAATTCATTGCAAACCATCCCAAGACATCTAAGTATGGGACAGTATATAAACGTTTAATAAATAAAGATCTCCTGCCTTTTTTCCTTTTGCAAGGAATTCAATGCCTACTTATTCAACGCCTGCTGGATGGGCTTTATCAGAAGAATGGCGAGGTGGTTATTCAGGTTCCACAGGGAGTGCAGTGAACTTTCCCAGTGTCCAAAAGCTGAGCAATTTCCCAAAGCCTGGGCTTTATAGCCTTCCATTCTTAGGAAGAGCCCCAGAAATGTCTGCATTCGCCATGAGACAAGAGCTGCACTGGGCCATGAAAACCAAAACTGTTCGCTTTACTGAAGCTGTCCCTCCCCGCATCCACCCGCACATCCCTGTCTCCCAGAATGGATGTGTAGCAACCGCTTCTGGAGCAGCTGGAGAGAAGAACTTCATACAATCCATGGCAAGAGGTTTGTGTCTTCAAGTTGGGAAGGAGAATTGATGTGTGTCGCTTACCCAGGCAACTTCGCAGGTTCAAGCTGAGCAACAGAAGATCTGCCCGTCTGGATACATCTGTTGGGTTTAGGGTTAAGGTGGGATATTAAAGGGCATTTCTGGATTAAAACAACTGGAAGCCCTATGCGAGGAGATCTTGGGAGACCCAGACTTAATAGCATTTGATCATGAGAAACTAAACTTGGTTCTCTTCTTTATCTTCTATGAAAGTAGAACATTGCTGAATTTTTAGCATTGAAGAAAGCTTGTTTATATATTCAAGAAGATAAGCCTCACTCATGAGGATTCCTGGATGAACTTGAGCTAGTCATATTCTTTCAGTCTCGCCCACCTTACAGGGTTCTTGTGAGCACAAAATGAGGGGTGAACCATGTGTCCCCCCTGAACCATGTTGGGGGAAAAGAGATGCGTGTTTGTGTATATGAATTTGTGGAGAGTGGGGATATTATAATTAGGAAAAGGGCGACGTCTTCCTGTTGGAGTCCAGAAAAATTTGGGTCCTGGTCCTGAGGCTGAGCTGATGTTATGTTTGCAAAGGTTTTCCAGATTTTCCTTGAATGTGGGGAAGTATTAAAAAGAGTGGTGCTGAGATTGGAGAAAGCAGAGCTTTGACTATTTTCATGGGAGCCGAGGGAGCAGCCAGAAGAAATAGAAGATGAACCCTGAAGGGAATGTGACCTTGCACAGAAAAAAGCTTCTGCACCCTAGATCGGATTGTTGCACTAGATGGACAGAGATGCAGCTTCCATTCCCCATTCATCCATGGTAGGTAACCATGGACCAGTATCCTGCATTTACTTTCCCTTGGCCTTGGTCTGCCTCGTAGGGTTGTTGTGAAGGGGTGCACAGGGGTGGGGGACAATGCTTATATGTGACTTCCGAGCATCTTGAAGGAAAGGCAACATTAAAAAAAATACATTCGTTATATTTTTGTTGCGATTGCATTTTAAAACAGATTTGGTTTTGCGCGCGCGTTTTTAAACCCTGGCCAGAAAACTCTGGCTATTGGGCAGCGCCGAAATATTATAAATGAACGAGTGGAAAATGTGATTAGAGGCATCTCTGAGCTGAGAACCCAGCTGGTACAGTCCATTCGCCTCTCTGCTTCCACCCCCTTTCTCCTCGTTGGACTCCACCCCGGGCCCTGCTTGAGAGCACCAGAAGGCAGCCGTGCGGCGTCCAGCAGCACCGCGGCCGGTCCCCCCCGCCGCCAGGAGGCGCTGTCCGGCGCTGCCGCTTCTCTATGGCCGCCGCAGCCTCCGCCACATGCTCCAGGCCCTCGGAAGATCTCGCGCGCCTTGGACGTTCCATTCCACCCACGTGAGCCGAATGTAACAAGGAAAGAAAAAAAGAGAAAGAAAAAAGGTTACATTGTAGCGAGGAGGGAGCGGCGCGCGCGGGCCAGCGGCCGAGCGAGCGCGGAGGAGACGCGGGGGAGGGAGCACGGCGGCGCGACACGGCGCGGCTGCACGTGTGAACGGCGCGGGAGGCTTCGTGCGCAGCTGTTCCTGTTCTTCCCCTTCCCCTCTACAAACACACGCCGCTTGTCTTTCTGGATCCGGATCAAGCGAATCCGGATCCGGCCGCTGGCTCCATCCTGTGTGTGCCACCCTCCGCTAGCTTGGCGCGCCGGGGCCGGTTGGCCTTCTCCGAACGGGCCGGCCGAGCCCAGACCAGCCCATGGCCGGCGGAGGGTGGACGCTGCCAGGCGGGGATTTCTTGTCCCCGCAGCCGCCGCCTTCCTCCCAGCCGGAGCCGCCGCCGCCGCCGCCGCCTGCCGTGCCCGCGACGGAGCCCGACCTGGAGCCCTGGCGCGAGAAGCAGGAGAGCGACCGGCACTGGGCGCTGCGCAAGCAGTTCCTGCTCCGCAACTTGCCGGGCTACTCGGGCCACGCCGCCGCCTTCCAGAAGCTCCTCGCGCTTTCGCACGCCTGGTCCAACCATGTCTTCATGGGATGCAGGTGAGAAGAGGGGGGCATTGGTGCCGTGCCTTCCCCTCCCCCAGTAGCCCCAGGCACACGTAAGATCGGGGGCGCGTCCTCCCCCACAGAAAAACGCATTCACACGAAGGCTGCATGGATCTTCCACCTGCAGTTTGGATATATGGCAGAATCAAAAGGAGAAGGACTGGATCGGTAATACGGGACCCCGGCCCCATCATTCATTCATTCATTCATTCATTCATTCATTCGCTGCATTTCCTCCGCTGTTATCTGCCCCTTTCTTTACCGCTCTGTGACTGGTAGTATTCCTGGTGGTATTTAAATATATGCATATCTTTATACCCTGCTTTCCTACTAATGAATGCAGACAGCGACCCAAGCGTGGGCTCCATGCAGCCACCCCTTTAAAGCAAGACGTTTGGGATAGAAAAATTATTTGGCTAAAGGAGCAGCAGAATTAGCCCTACGAAGCCTTTCGGGATAAGAATGCTTTCACTTTCTGATTCGAGGTGATCTGGGAGGAGATAGGTGGGGTGTTCGCCATGTATAGCTGTGTCCACCCTCAGAGCATTGTCAGAATAGAAGGACTCCTTCCCAAGGACTACGATCTTTCTTCGTTTGAGCATCTCAGTGGCGTCTGAGCAGATGTTGTCCTGAAGAGCCTTAAAGAGTTGGGTAGCGATGCCCACCAAAGGCAGATTAGTTTTTCTGTGCCACTTTACTTGAATCCCAAAAGTGTTCCACCTTCCCAATTCCTTCGGGGTTCAGGGGGAAGGTACCTAGCTTGGCATCCCTGTCGTAGATCAAACCTGGCCCTTGACTTCTCTTGCATTTTTTAAGTGACATGATCGGGACCTTGACTACTCTCTGTGCTCTGGTCCGTCTTCTGGACCTAGCAATCTGCCTTGTCCATCCTGTGGGTGGGGCTGGAGCCTAGGTCATGGGTTGGCCATAGAGGTGTTTTGGCCTACAGCTGCCATCACTCCTAGCCCGCATAGCCAACTCATGGGAGTTCCAGGTCAAAACATCTGGACAACTGCAGTTTGCCCACCTCTGTCCTGGAGAGGCCTGGCCTTTGTTCTGCCCCTGCAGGGCATGTCTGCCCACTTAGTATTTGGAAACGTTTTGAGCAGAGCGCCTGCCCGCCTTCCCAGAATACTTGCGCCCTTACATCCTTTCCTAGCAGAGCATGTTGCAAACAGGTGTTTTGAGGTTAGAGGGCATGACATGCAGGCAGCCTTGGGATGGACCTTGCAGTGCAGGTTCCTTGTTTTATGGGGGTCTACATAGGCCCCCACCCTCTCCGGGGTGCCTAATAGAGTCCTGTCCTGCCATGGCTGTCTCTGGTGCTGGCTTCGCATTGCTCAGTGACTTGTCCAGCTGTGTTCGTCTGGGATCCACTGAGTGCAGCCCACAGCAGGTCCCAAGGCATCCGGACTGAGGAGCATGGGAAACGGACATATACCAGGTCTGGTTGCTTCATCAGGACCAATGTTTTCTGCTGTTGAGTGGCTCCCCTAAGATCTTAGATGAGGAATGACCTTTCCTGCCTCCTGATACCATTCTGAAATGAAGGCTTGGCAAAAATATACCTCTTATAAGACACTTTGTACAAGCACAGCAATGTACCCTTTTTTTCCGAAAGCGTTGCATATATTTAAGGGCTTAACCAGCCTGTTCAAGATGTTAATTCTGCTTGTGGCAAGAATTCAGAAGGGTTGCACTCTCTTTAGTACAGCAAGACTTACTACAGGTGAGGGAGAAATAACTAAAAGATTTAAAATGGGGAAGATGCATCCCAGCATCTTGTTTATGTGTTGAGACAGGCGAATCTGTTGACCCAACTTGGTGCAATTCCATCATGAATGAGTTGCCGAAGTACGTGAGAGTTCGGTTTGCCCCAGACGGAACCGCAGACTGTAAAGTGTGAAGCAGGAGCACTGCATTCTCCAGTGCTGTGCACCACCAGTTCTGTAGGCTTCGGCCAGGATGGCCAGGTACCAGCTTGCCTGCTTCTGAGCTGGTAACTCTCGGGGGTCTTGGGCAAAGGTGGGACTTCCCTGCTACCTGCTCCTGGATCCAGCAGAGCTGGGCAACTCCCAGCGACCCTGACCGGGCAGCCAGCGGTGAAGGATCAGGGTAGTTGCCAGCCAGAGTATCTGGAGAGACGCAGTTGCTTGCTGCTGTTTTAAGACAGATGCTGAGGAATGAACGGGGATCTTCTGCATGCAACGGTGGTGCTCTGTTCTGCTACCTTCGTGATCTTTGGGCCACCTGCCCAAAGTCATTCTGACACATGTAATTATGTATTTTTAATGGGGTGAATAACAACCTGCCTCTGAGTGATGACTTGCCTTCTCTGTGGCCATCGTAGCTTGTACTGCTCTCCCTGCCAGTCCTAGCAAGCTTGAGAACCCTGAGTTCGAATCTAGTCACTGCCACTCCACCATCCTACCTGGCAAGGGAACTGCCTCTAAATGTGAACTGCTTGGGGATTTTATATTAAATATTTAATAATACTTTAATAATATTTAATTGTCACATTTGAAATTAAAGTATTTGATTATATTATTTCATATATACATGAACAGTGTATTATACTGAGTGGTACAGAAGTATCACATAAAAAATCAGTTATGGGTGGACTCACTGTGTGCATGGAGATGCATTATATTCTTTAATCCAGTTTTCTCCAGCATGTCCCAAAACTGCATTTGCTCTTTGCCTGAGTTGGAGAAAGAAGTGTTGGTGAATAATATAAAGAGATGCCCTTTGGATCAAGACTTAGGCTGGCCCCTGACAGGAAGGTGCAGAGGTCAAACTGTTCTCCTAGTTACTACTGCTCTTGGACATCATTGGTCTGGGCCCAGTTGCTAGATATAGTGGTGCATTAGTTTAAAAGAAAAACACAACTCTGCTAGGAGAAAGCCACTGGTCATTGATTGCTGTGTATGTACTGTGGAAAAGTCTCTCTTTCTCCCATTGGAAGGAATTGCAATCTCCAATTGGTAGATGAAGCAGCACATGTTTTAGTTGATTAATTTTGGCAGGAGTTTATGTTGAACCTTTAATACTGCATGTTAAAGGTACTTTTTTTGGAGTGGCAATTCTGATTTTGGTCCATGCAATAGAGAAGGTGTGAAAGCATTATGGATACACTTACCTTCTAACAATGGGTGATGTTTTGTGACTATACTGAAGATTTGCTACTTAGCAGGCTTCTTTTTTTATTCAAAAGTGTGTATGTTGCCTTTCTAAACACATGTTTTCTCAAGCCAGTTTATATGGCAGAGCATTTAAAATCAATTATATATAAACATGTAAAAGCGGCAACCGTCTAACTTTTTATTGGCACAATAAAAAGCACAGTGAAAGAGAGAAATGACATTAAAAACCAACCTCCTAATTTCATCAAAAAGTGGATTGATCAAAATAAAGATGTCTTTAAAGCGCACGTAAAAGCACAGAGGAAAGCACCAGCAACAGGAGGGACCACCCCTGCAAAGTCTCCGTCCCTTGTCTGCTCACCCAGCTGACCTACAAGTGGGGCCTGGCTGACCAGTCTTATTGCCTAGGCAGGTTTACATTTAGTTCATTAAGTGCATTCCAGTGAGGCTTCCAAACAGAAGATTGCAGGCACCCCTCGTAGGGTCCCTCTCACTCTGCAGAGCAGTTAGATGTCCGTTTTCGGCTAACCACAGCGATTCAGAGCTGGTGGGGCAGAAGCTACACTGCCACCCTGTTGTATTTTGGTGGCATCGGTCCCCTTCCTTCCGTCCTTCCTTCCTTTCCCACTAAACCCATTGCATCCATGGCAGGGTGGAGACTAGAACCAGGTATCCCATGTCCCAGTCCAACGTTACCCTGGGATTGTTCTTTGGCCAATGATTAATCAGCTAATTCTTTCCTTCCCACTTGGCTGCAAAGATCACTGGGTGACTTTGGGCCAGTCACTGACTTTCAGCCTAACCTACCTCACAGGGTTATTGTGAGGTTAAGATAAAAAGGAGAACGATGTAAGACGCCTTGATTTCCTCACAGGAAAAATGGTGAGATATAAATAAGTCAGCTGATGCCTCTATTTGTCAGCTGTTTCTTCATGGTTGAAGACAGTGAGTTTGGACCAAAGTTTGCTCTCAGTAAAAGAAATGAGGCTTATTTTGCATAATTTTAACTTTCTGAGTGATTCCCTCCCTTTTATTGTGGAGGTGGGGAGGTAATTATCAAAGAAAACCGTCCTACTTTCTTGGGTTTTGGGGTTGCTGAAGCAATGGCTTGATTTGCATAGGGTAATCATGTTCTAAAAGGCTAAAAAAGAGTTGATGTCTTTGCCTGGCTCATGTAGCACTTCCCCTGTGCTGAGTGATGCTTATGCAGAGCTCTTTTGTCATGGTAACTAGGCCTTCCTTTGCATAAGCTGAGATGTTGCTAATAGGACAGTGGGGTGTGTTTAGGCAGGACTCAGGCTGGAACTTAAATTGTGGGTTGGTGATGCATTGAAAATGGCTTCACCAAAATGGTTGCGAGCTGCTTTACTCTAATTGGCACTGACACCCCATCCAAGGTGATCACCTTGATCATCTCTAACCCTACAGCAATTCGGCAAGGTGGGTTGGAGAGAGTGACTTACCTAAGCCTCACTATAGAGAAGGGAGCTGAACCCAGGGCACCCAGATTCCAGAAATCCAGTGCTCCTAACAGAATCAATGAACAATCCCCAAACAGAAAAGACCAGCTCATAGGAGGCCATGTGCTTTTCATGCCGAAGGACCCAGGAGGGAGCCCCAGTATTACCAGGTAGAACTAAAAAGAGTTCTGCCTGAAATTCCGGAGAGCTGCCAGCCAGTGTTGAAAATACTGGGCTAGCTAGGCACATGGTCTCGTCCTGTCTTAGGCAGCTTCTGATGTTCCTGAGTTGCAGGCCAGAAACCAAAGCAAAAGCCCCCTGAGCCCAGCGTGTTCCTTGAGCAGCAGTCACAGGCTGCATTTGACTGGCTCGTTCCCTGCCCCGAACGCAGAGACAGTAGTCCAGGGGGCATGCCCCATCCTTCAGACTGCATCTGCACAATCGTGAAGAGGTTTTCGGTGTGCATTGCTCACAAAGTGCTGTGGCTCAATAGGTGGGATACAAATGTTTTAAATAGATGAAGTGGATGGCCCCTGGCAAGGCCCTGCAACCGCTTCACGCAAAGTTCCAAAAGCGGTTTGTGATGCAGCGATGACGACCGGTGTAAGTGCTTTAAAGGGGGGTTGGATGGATTCATGGAAGGCGAAGGCTGCCCGTGGCTACCAGTCCTTAGGGCCACACGCAGCCTCTGGTGTCAAACACAGTATGTGTACGGCAGCAGTTGCTGGGGAACATGGGTGGGAGGCTGCTGTTGCCCTTGTGTGTGGGTTTTCCTTGGGCAGTTGGTTGGCCATGGTGGGAACAGGATTCTGCACTCCACGGACCTTTGGACTAATGCAGAGCGAGACCACAGGGGCCCTGCTGGACCAGTCCCAACTTTCCTGCCGGTCCGGTTTCATGGCAAGATCTGAATTACGGTGTAACAGCAGAGAAGGGGGCATGGTGGGGAGGGCTTTCTCTCTGATTTCTCCATGCTCTCCAGAGCTTTCTGAAGCTCCATCACATCCTCCTGCAGTGGACTTGTTTCTACCTAAAACCCCATCAACAACGCAGCCATTCCTCAGAACAAAGATGTGACCCCCCCCCCCCCCCAGCCTGTCCCAAGCCTTTCTCCACTCTTTATGGTGTGTCTGGAGATGCAGGGAGTCGCCTGGTGCTCAGAGGGGTGGGAATATCAGTGGCTCCCTCGGGCCCCTTTCACAAGCTTGGGCAACATTTTGAATCGCTGAGGGGTTGTTGCAGATCACCCAGTCCTTTGGTCCTTCTAATCTTTTTAGCTAGAGATGTTTTCTCTGTGCAGCGTGGCCTTGAGCTGTGGAGCTTTTTAGTTCAGGAGCTGGAAAAGATCCAGACTTCTTTTCTGAAGAAAGCACTTCTTCTCTGTTGCCATCTTTGCTGCTCACGTTCATGCAGAAGTCGGTGGGCACTTCTGTTTGGGCTAGGATATAATTCCAGCTTCTGCGTTTTCACAGTGGGATGCTAACTTTGCCATCTTTCTGTTTGCGGGACTGTAACTGCAGGAGAGACACTTGCTAGAGTTCTTGATTGTCAGCGCTCCAAGATTCAGCAGCTGGAGGTCTCTGTGAAGGCTGTTGGAGCTTGGAACAGCCTTTCTGACTAATGCTAAGCATCCATTCCTCTAGATTTACCTTCTCCAACCTTGTGCATTTCTGACATTTTGCACTGTAACACCCAGAATTCCCTAGTCAAGGGCCCTGCTGGATAGGAATTCTGGGAGTTGTGGTCCAGATGCCTCTGAAGGCTGCCGGGTCGGCGAAGGCTGTTCTGGATTGCATCTGTGTATCACGTCGGATCATTAGAAAGACACTTATCTGAATTGTAGGAATGTTTTCACACATGATCCCTGATGCTCTCTTATAAGAAATTGCCACCAAAGAGCAGCTGGGTGTGTTTTGCTAAAAGCTGTTACTGACAATATTGTGTATTATGTTACTCGGTGCCCTCTTGTCAAGTTCCAAGCAAAAAGTATTTGTCAGGAAGAATTTTGCTGCACCCAGTGAATCCATGTTTTCTGTTCTTCAGTAATGAAAAGCGCGTTGCTTGGTGTGCTTCTTGCATTGGCAGCCGAGAAATTGAAAGCTAAACGTGTGACTCAGCTTCTGTTTTCCTTCTGGGCCTATAGCTAAACAATAACATTATGTTCACACCCAAACTTTAGATGCTTTGGAATGCAGCTCATAGGATTCCTGACTGAGAATGATGTGAGTTGCAGTCCAGTCCATCTGGAGGGAAGGCCTGTGTAGATAATACAGATCTAGACAGCTCAGTAGTGTAACAAAATACCATGCGACTTCTTAAGCTCTTAGTTCAGAACCATGAGGACTAGCATCTTACTTGATTGTTAGGGAAAGAACTGCAACTCAGGGATAAAACACGTAATTTTGGCAAGCAGGTGGTCTCAAGCATCTTCTGACAGGGCTAAAAAAGACCTGTGTTGAAACCCCAGAAAGTTCTTCTTGTCCGTCTGGAGAATACCAGAACTGTCCAGTTGTTTTGTGACCCACCCAGAGAGCCCTTGCACTATGGAAAGGCATACAGCTATCATAAACAAAGAAACAAACATCAGGCCAGATGGACCACCAGTCTTTCCGTATACATCACCTTCTCACATTCCTGTATCTCAGCCTTCCCCAGCCTGATGCCATGGAGATGTTCTGGACTTCAGCTCCCATCAGCCTCTAGCCAGCATGATCAGTGGCCAGAAATGCTGGGAGTTGTAGTCCAGAAGATCCAGGGGGCATCAGATGTGGAGGATATCTTGGATGCCGGTTCCCATAACTCCCCAGCCAGTGGATAACAGCAGGAGGGAGCCGGCTGGGGAAGGCTGGATGGCTCCCTCCTCCTAAGGCTGGACTCAACCCAGGGTGGGAGTGGAGTGGAGTGGAGTGAAGAGGAAGGGGTCATAACTGCAGGTGGTGACCTGAGGCTTTCTTTCTTGGAACACAGGTATGGCTCTCAGGTTATGGAGAAAATCCTGCCAATGTCCGAGGGGATCGATGTGGGTGCAATGCCATCCTATGAGCTGGTCCCCGGTGCCAAGGCGACAAAGAGGCCACGCTCCCCGCTGGATGACGCTGCCCACGGTGAGTACTGCTATTTCCCCATTCCCAGAAGATGCCGTGCCTGTAGTCCTGAGCACCCATCTGTTGCTGTACACAGCACAGAAACAGAGCGAGTCAGAAGGGGTCCCCCGGGCCATCTAGTCTGACCTCCGGCACCAGCCGGCTCCGCTCACGACATGCCCACCATGTGCATGTCCAGCCTATCTTTGAACACCCTCACTGATGGGGCCTCAACCACCTCCCGTGGAAGTCCATTCCACACCCTCGGGGTCCTGACTGTCAGGAAGTACTTCCTGGCATCTAAATGGAACCTTTAGCAAGGCGAGTTCCTCTCAGCCCTACAGAGAATAAGGGTACATGGGGCAGAGAACTAGGAAACTAGGAACTAGCCCACTAGGAAACTTGTCTCTGCTGTGACTGGGGAGTGGGTGGGCTGCGCAGAGCCCCAAACCTTCGGCAGGAGCTCAGCCATGTCCCCAACATCTTGTGTGCTAGTTGTAGAAGATGGGAAGGAGAATAGGGGGAAAGGGTGGAGAGGAAAGATGAATTCTTCAAGGCCAGGACAAAGTGGTGAGGCGTAAGTGAACATTTGTAAACAGTCGGTGTCACACTGGTCTTCCTACCTGGTGGCTGGCAGTGCATTTGAGGAAGGAAGGCGTGAAGGATGGAAGAAAGAAAGAAAGAAAGATGGGCTATAATGTAATGCACTGATAATATGAAGCAGCTGTTCTGGTCTGCTCGACATCAGCTGTCCACCCCGTATCAAGGGCGAGCTCAGGCGTCAGTGAGCATTGTGTTGGGGATAACCCAATGTGACTGGCGGCTGACCTGGAGTGGAGCCAGCCCTTGGCTGGGCTTCTCTTCAGAAGTGTCACATCAGTCAGCCACAGGCTGCATTGCCCCCCCCCCCCCGCCCCCTGCCCCTGACAAGTCTGCACAGCAGCACTTCTGAATGGAAGCCAGCCCAGCACACGGTTCTGCTCCTAGTCAGAAATCATGCCTGCACAAGGCTTGCCCACAGTTGGCACATCATGTGGAAGAAGACCGATGTTTGTTGTTGGATGAAGATGTCATGGGGAGGGGGCCCCTGATGTTTGTTTCTGGTTGTGCTACCCTGAACCATCACAAGTCATTGTGGCTACAGAGAAAAAGCCTGCCCTTAACCTATGCCTTTTAAAAGACAGACAGACAGACAGACAGACAGACAGACAGACCAGTTATCTTCATGTTATAACCATCTTGCATTCCATAGGTCTGGAAGCTCCAAGGAAGCAGCCTCCCAAATTCCGTGTCAGACCTCGTTTTGAACCCATACACTTCGTAGCCAGCAATACGCGAGACGGAGAAAAGGAACCGGCTGCAGAAAACCAAGCACAGGATGCCAGTGAGAACATCACAACCCAGCAGATCCAAAACTATGCTGACCGGGTTTTCAGCAGCTTCAGTACACAGGATGGAGACGCCCAGTTTTCCAGCTCGGTGGGCTTAGGCTATGGAAGCAGCCAGAGCAACCAGACAGAGGCCAAGGGGGTTTCCAAAACCAAAGACACGCCTGCCAGTGGGGTTGCCCCGGTTTCTGGGGCACCTTCTCTTGTCCAAACAGCCTCTGAAACATTTCCCAAGTCTGTTATCACAGCCAAGCAGTGTTTCATTAACAAACTTGTAGCGGCCCTCCGCAAGAATCTTGCCACCCCAGATGCTAGTGGTGGGACTGACAAGATCAACTACACTTACCTGTTGACCCGGTCCATTCAGGCTTGCAAGACCAACCCCGAGTATATTTATTCTCCCTTGAAAGAGATTTCCCCGGGCGACCTCCCCAAGAACAAGAAGCTACTCAAAGAAGGCTTTGCTTGTGAGGTGCGATGCCAGAATGTGTATTTGACCACAGGTTATGCTGGCAGCAAAAACGGCTCCCGGGACCGAGCGACAGAGCTGGCGGTGATGCTGTTGCAGAAGCCTGTGGAAGTAAAAGTGGCAAAGAGGAAATTTAAGAACACTACTCGGGAGGATTTAGTGCTGTGCGAGAGCGGCACATCTCCAACCGAATTCCCACCAGCACTCAAGCAGCTTGACGATTTTATCGCTGCCATGAAAGAATGCTTGCCCGGGCAGCCGAACTCGGACCCACTGCAAGGCCCCAGCTCTGCAAAGCACTGGACGAACTTTGTCCTGACGGAAAACGCGAACGACGCCATTGGGATTCTAAACAACTCTGCCTCCTTCAACAAAATGACCGTAGAGTATAAATACGTCCTGATGCCAAACCGCCTGTGGCGCTGCAGTGTCTACTTGCAGGATCACTTCTTAGCCGAAGGCTACGGCACCAAGAAAACCAGCAAGCACGCCGCTGCAGATGAGGCACTGAAGATCCTGCAGAAGACCCAGTCCAATGCTGGAGCCACCAAAGCGGTTCAAGTTCAGAAAGTGGGCAACACTGCCCGAGACCCCACTAAGAAGAAGGACTTGAAGGATCTTGTTGTGTATGAGAACTCGATGAATCCCGTGTGCACGCTGAATGACACGGCTCAGTTCAACAAGATGACCGTGGAGTATGTCTTCGAAAGGATGACCGGGATGCGGTGGAAGTGTAAGGTGATGCTGGAGAATGAATTAATTGCGGAAGCCATTGGGGTGAAGAAGACGGTCAAGCATGTGGCGGCTGAGGAGGCGGTCAAAGTCTTAAAGAAGACCCAGCCGACAGTTGTCAACAACCTGAAGAAAGGCACCATCGAAGATGTCATTTCGAGGAATGAGATCTGCGGGCGTTCAGCTGAAGAGGCACTGAAACAGCAGATCAAAGAAGACAACATCGGGAACCAGATTTTAAGGAAAATGGGCTGGACGGGGGGTGGTTTGGGCAAAAGTGGCGAAGGCATCCGGGAGCCAATTGCAGTGAAGGAGCAGTTCAAAAGGGAAGGCCTAGGACTTGATGTTGAAAGAGGGTCAAAAATCACAAAGAAAGATATTGAGCAGATCATCCAGAACTATGCTTTCTCGGACAGTAAAATTGACCTAACTTTCTCCACAGAACTCACCAATGATGAGCGCAAACAGATACATCAGATTGCTCAAAAGTATGGGCTTAAGAGCAAATCCCACGGCCAAGGTCGTGATAGATATCTGGTGGTTAGCCGAAAGAGGCGCAAAGAGGACTTGTTAGACCAGCTAAAGCAAGATGGCCAAGTTGGCCATTATGAACTCATTATGCCCCAGGAGAAGTAAGGTGTGTGTGTCATTTCGTTGGAAGATGCTCAAACTGAGGCTGAAGTCCCCATTAAACAGAGCAAAGGCTGCATATTGTGGTGGGAAAGGATTTAAAAACGTTTTTCTTGCTCATTTAATTTCTAAAACTTTATTAGCAAAAAGTTTAGAAGTTTTAAAAGCAGAGTTCTGTCCAACATATGTAGTGCAGTCTGGATAACATTAGTGCAGGTTACCCTGTTTTATGAAATATCTTTCCTTCACATTTTACTAGTTTTGTAATAGCAAGAAACATATCCACCCTGGGGGAAATTCCACACAGTTTTATTATAAGGATGTTTCCCTTGTCCTTTTATTTTGCTTTTTTTTAAAGTTGAAAAAAATGAAAGGAGATGGCAGTATGAAGAAAACTATATGTAAAGTTGGTATTAATAATAAATAGATTTTTATTTCTGGACATGCAAAGAATGGCATGTTTTGTATTTAAAGTATGGGTAGAGGGGTAAAAATGTTTTCAACATATTTGAAATGCACTGTTAGTGTTTGGTGATTGGTTTATCCAAGGCTCTGTGTCCTGCAGTTGCACTATGCAGCCTTGAAGTGGGAGGGGATCCAGACTTGGCCAACAGAGAAATTTTTTTAAATATCCAAAGGCAATGTCCAGCCACAGACAGTCACTTTTTCTTAACGGTTCTTACGTAACAGTTAAAATTCCAGCCTCGGTCCCATTGGTTTCAGTGCAGTTGTTGTTGTAACAAGGACAGCATGCTCCCACTGAAACCAGCAGGCCTTAAAACATACTCACCTGGGGTTGAATTGCATCTCATGCTTATAGCCCCAAAGACTCAAAACTTGAGACTCAAGTTTGCAGGAAGTACCTTAAGATGCCATGTTGTCTGCCGGGATGTGTGCATAGGGGGAGGGATCTGTTCCACCTTTGTATGATCAGTTATGCAAAATTTTGGCATGGGCTTTCGTTTTTCTCTATGTGTGTTGCAAAACATGCACGAATCTGGGTTTCACCTTGATCAGTCAGGCATCTGCTTTTCAAAACAGAACACATGAATAAATGAATACCCTTCCATCGTCTTGACAGTAAGATTAACTATGGAAGAGAGTGTTTTCTCATACCCTGTTGAGCAGTGAAGTATTTAAGAAACAAATTCACATCGGGGTGGGTGATTACATTTGCTTATTTCTATACGTAGCCTCCGAATATGTTTTTTTATGCTGCTTCTTTTGTGTACTTGTGCTTGTGTATCTCACAGGGAGATCATCGGCAAGTAAAAGGTTCTCTCACTACTGTAGCATGTGTATAGTTTCGTGTGAAGTGTTCTCTAATTTCCCATGTTCCAAAGTTAGCCTTGTAGCGGATTCTCTCCCTTCTGGATAGAAAAGGCTTTAAAGGAAACAGAGAAAAACTACCTCTTCATCAGTTCCTCCATCTTTTCTATTGCTTTGCTGGCTTGTCTTACTCGGAAGTGGCATGTCACCCGATTAAAGAATTCTTAGTTGATTTACTGAGTAATAAGCCTGCACAAATTTGTATAAAGTAGTTCTTGCTCCAAAACACACACACCAAAGTTTGATTGTGCGCTGACGTTCCTGAAGAGGCAGCCTTAGTTTAGAACTGTTTTCAAAATTAGCTTATCTCCCAGATCCTTCAGCCCCAGATGCAAGTAATTTGTTTTCTACTAGCTGCTCTGGTTGACCTTCTAGGAAAACTAGGGGTAGTTTCAAGCAGGAGTAGGCACTGGTGTTCACTGAAGTTCTCCACCACTCCTTTGTGTTTGTAGGTCTGCAGGGATGGGAGCTGTCTGTGTGCGTGTGAGAGGGAGGGAGGACTGTGGTGAGGGAACTTTAGAAGGAATCCGGTAAAAGGGTGTGCTTTTTCATATACTTGCAATGAGGTAGCAAGGGAAAGCACGCACACAGAATTTGAGATGCTTGTGTGGAAAGGCTGAGTCCACGGACGGTCCAGAGACTACAGGGATGAGTGGGCTTGCAAAACGAAGGTTTTTTTTTTAAATTGCTTTCTGTGAACTAGGTTGCTCATAGTTGGCTCAAATAGCGAGTTGGCATTGAAGCTCATACCTTTCTGCCCTGTAGTCCACCCTTCTGGCAAATTACTCATGTTTTGTGGCTGGTTTAGAGATGTTGCCCAGGAATTCAAAGCGCCAGATGTGCCCAGAGACATTGGTCAGCCATGTGTAGAGCACTCCTGCTTTGAGTGAGGATAGGCATTCCGGGGTACTATGGGCCCCCCAAGAATAGCATCAGTGGGATGTGGTACTAGTCTGCTTAAGAACAGTATACCTCTTCCCCAAGCCCCTCAAAAAGTTCTTCCCCCACACTTGCACACATTCTCTTTTTGCTTATCAGCTGCCATTGCAATGAATTATTTTCTAAAGGAAAGCTAAAAAACACACCATTGTGAGTCACTGCTAAAAGTCCTATGAGAGCTACTGGACTCTTGTCTAGGAGGGTTCAGCTAGCATGACTGTTAAGAATAGCAGGCTGCTAGCCTGTACTCAAGCAGCTACCAGGGGAAGCAGGAGAGCTCCCTTCCAGAAATGCATGAAGAAGAATTGTGCTGGATCAGGCCAGCCTCCTGCCTCCATAGTGGTCAATAAGCAGCCTACAGGTAACTGACAAACAGGATGTCAACACAATTGCATACCCCCACTCACCCCCAACTAGTTTTCAGAGGCATACGGTCTGTTACTGGGGTTAATATAAAGCAAACAGATCAATTTATATTAGATACAACATAGTAGCTGTAGAAATATGTATCCTGTGAGTCACTTTAGAAACTAATCTGTTGGCAGGATTGTTCCAAGCTCCTTTGATAAAGAAATACAAACTAAGGGATGCTTTAGTAGTAGATCAAATGATTAATTTTCACTCCACAGTTACTATGTAGGAAGTTCCCAACTTCATTCCTATAGCTAGCTGGTGAAGACCTCATGATGCAGAAAGCAAGTCCTGACAACAGAATTTTTTTCTTGGTCATCTGTTAGGATAAGCAGTTTTACATGTCTTGCTTTTTTCAACAATAAGCACTTAAGGTCACACATTTATTTACAAGTAATTGAAAAATGTACAGTTTCTTACATGGGTTACTTGTGCAAAGTTGTACTCAACAGATCCATGTATATGCAGAAGACACTGGAAGAGCAGACAAATACACTGATCAGTCTCCTTCCACACTGCTGCTTAAGGTACCCAAAATGTACAAATGGAGCTTTACAAAAACGCTTTTGCAAAGGCGGAACTTTGTAGAACTGAGGGGAAGAGAAGAATGAGGCATGCACTAGTGACACTTGTGATCTTACTTTTTCCAGCAAAGCAAAATTCTAGCCTCTGGTTATCTTCTCCAGCAGAAGAGGTAGAGATTAAAATCATAGAAGGAAAGTGGATTTTTAAGCTTTTTTTAAACTTTATCCTTTTACCATCAGCCAAGTAATTGTCAGCTCCTGTCCCTTGCCCATAGCTATACCTGGAGGTTGTGAGAGCTACTATGCAGTTTTGATATTTTTAGGAGTCCTACAGGAAGGATACATAGCATTTAACCTCAAATGCATCATTGCACTATACAGACACAACCCACAGAAGCAGGCAGCAACCCCCTTTCCCTTCCATTCTTTTAATGAGCTTGAGACGGAATTTTAATTTGCAAAGCCAAAATCCTGCTTAACAGAAACCCCACCCACAAGAAGTATGGGAAGCAGCAGAGACAGTTAAGTCCTTCACACAATGCTTACAGGTGCAGTGAAGTTGATACCAGCAGTTAAATGACCAGCCTGGACAGATCAGCACTTGAGTCATAGTTAAAAATGTATATTGTATATAAACATCCCTTTTTTTTAAATCAAGCTACACATAAGCATCACTGTGTATAACACAATTACAATTAAAAGCTTAGTGTACACTACAGAAATGCACAATGCCGCCTTAAGACTGGAGATGGTAGACCACAGAGAGTGGGATTCAGCCTCAGCCATTCTTTTACAAGTAACCCAAGTACAGTACATTTTGACCTCAAGGGGAAAGGGGAGGGGGTGCTTTCTGATGTCCAAGGAGAAAGAAGCTTCAGCAAGGGTGGGTGGCAACAGCACAACAGCTATTTTGCTCTCAAAGTAAATGCAGTGATGCTAGGAGGAGCAGGATGACGACTCAGACACTTCATACATATATTTTCCTCATCAGAGTGTTCATTTGCACCATCCAAGGTCAACAGTCACGCCAGCTCTGTTCTACTATTGCAGAAACCCGTTTTTCGTATTCCCGCTTATTCTCTTGGTATAGTTGAGCTGCCTGGCTGTTTGCTGGACTGTTTGGGTTAGGCTCATCCAGTAAAGACTGTTTTAGAAGAAAAAGATGGGTTAGGTCTGGCATCACCGCGGCTTTTCACACAAACAAGCAAGGTGGTGGATTCAGCTCGTTCATACAGCAAAGTTTTACAGGTCCAGTGGACATTACAAATCTTTCCTGGATATTTCTGGTCTCATTCTTAGCCTACACCCATCCCGCACTAATTAAGTAATCTCCGCTATAAGCACACAGGTTCAGGCTAAATCCTTAACAATTAAACGGACTGTACTCAGAATCTATTTTCATGGATAAACAGTTCACCGCAAAACAGAGCCAAGGGAAACAACCAGCCAGCTGATATGTATCCAAGACCACCTCCCACATTGCTTTCAGACAAAACGTTGAGGGGGGAGAACTTCTGAAAGTTTCCAGAATTACAAATAAAATGGAGGGGGGGGATGCTCCCCAAAGACTGCAGCAGAGAGTTATTTGTACACAGAATACAAGCATTCACAGACAGGTACACACCTATAAATATACTGGTTTGAAAAGAATCTTCAAGTATAAAAATATATAGAAAAAAATCAATCTCCAAAAGAAAGAAAACTGCAATGTTTCTTAACCTATGGATGATTGGGGGGTAACTAGTGCCATTGGAGAAACCTGTAATGGATCCAGTTGAGTGGACCAGTTTTTTTCTTCCATTATGAAGATTTGTGGACAAGTTTTTCATGTTTGCATATGTGCTGATTTGCATTAGGGCTCATATGCACCATTAGAGTGATTTTGTGGTAAAGAAATTGCATTCCATCAAGCTGCAACAAAGGGAAAGAAAGAAAACACCTGACAACCTATAAAATGGACTGAATGGATTGAACAAAACCGGTAACTCCTCAGGACTGTTACAGTATATAAAACCATTTCCATTCATCTCTCTCTCCTGTGCTTACAAGGCTGACAAGGAACAGGAAATGTATTTCAGTATTTGGGAAGCTAGGGGAATCAGTGAACAGAACTGGAAGACTACTTAGAAATATACCACTGTACTCTATTTGGGGGATGTTTCTATGAATGATTTAAATACTTTTTACACTTCCCGTGCGGCTTTAAACTAAAATACAAGATATTTCAGATATTATTTTAAATTTTATCCATTCTAGCCACTAAATGATTGGGTCAGATGCATATGTTCTTTCAAAAAGATGGGTAAGGAACAATGATGGGACGGTTATCCCCAGGGCAGATGGCTGACCAGACTGTAGTTTCCTCTCACACATAAAAATGGAAGCACCAATTCAGACCATGCTAGCAACTTCAGCTGGTAGTCATGATGTTACCTGTATGGATGTTAAGATGGACGATACATCATAGGTAGGACTCCAACGGTTCTGAAGAATATCCAGACATATACTACCATCTGCATAGACTATAAAAGGAAATGAATGGCTTTCATAACAAGATGCAGTGCTTGCAAGTTCTTTCTTATCCCCAGATTGCATGCTCAGATCATTATCCTCATTTGCTGTATAAACACCTAAAGTAACCCATGTAACAAGCGTCCATGAGCTTGTGCCTCAAATATCTGACTTCCATAGGAGTTATGGACCAGGCCCCTGGCTAAAGGAGTCTTTCAAGTTCACCTTGTTTCACTGTTATATTCTCCTTTATGAACTCACAACATTAGTTATGATGATGTTCACAGTATGATCTTTCAAACAAGGATTAAGCTGCAGGAACACATTTTCCCAAGTTATCCTAGTAACATACATACAGTGGTCTAATAGGAACTTTGTAGCTGCAGATCACATATATGCAAAATGAGAATATCAGTTAAGAATAAAGCTATAGTTTTTCCCCCAGAAATACTACAGAAGTGCTAAAAGGTTAATTTGTTGTATTTTGCTAGTAGTCAGAAAAATATTTTATTTGGTATAGGGTCCTATCACGTTTGCTGTGAATATCTCAGCTGTACAATCAGAGTCAGGGGCTCTAACTACAAGAACCCCAAACTGAGTCCATGGAGACTCTCTTATTTGGGGACCAACACACTTTATATTCGAATGGGTCTTGGAGGTCATCTAGCCCAACCCACTCAATGATGGAATCCTGCAACTGCAGCAACACTGATTAAATCCACTTACAATTAATGTTTCCCTTGCCTTCACACTGAGTGAATGCTACAGCTTGGAGATTAGGGGGATGACTGGATCGAGCCATTCACTTTCGCTAGGAACTTAGCAGCCAACAGGATGGGATGCTCAGGAACATGCATTTGATTTTTTTGACCAGGATTCCCTTGAACTATCAGTCTATGCTCCATTTCTGTCCTTGATCAATGCTGTACAAATCACAGGCACGTTTAAAGGGTACATACCATTTGGATGAAACATTTTAGACACAAATCTAACAGTAGGCGGCTTGTTTGGATATTCTTCTGTGAATTCTATGGTAAGCTTGAAAGTTCCTGCAATTGAGAGAGGCGGGATCTAAGTATTACTGACTGTCGTTTTCCTGCACCCGCTGATGCACCCAAATGCAGATGCCCCAGCTGCTTCGCAGAACTCCTGTGCAAAAGGGAGATTCAAGGACTAGTCTGGCTTTCAGAGGTCAGTCAGACTAGACGCCTCTGGAAAGCGCATAGGCAGGGCGTGACTATTTAAGGAGCTCCATTAGTGGTTATGCTGCTCAACAGAGTGCAACAGGGCTCAGAGGGCCTGCAATCGATAATGTGATCGAAAGAGACAAGCAAGGGAGGGGACTAGCGACAGGGAAAGCATGTGCGTTGCTTCACTTGTACAGGAATACTTACTGCAGGACAACGGATTGTCCTACTACATTGATTTTGGGGGAGCCTGAAGGAGGTGGCATCCAGGAGGCAGTTCTGGTAAGAGGCAGCAGGGGTGGAGTCATCTAAGGAAGACCTTTGGAGAACTGAGAGTGGGAGAGCTGGAGGAGCAGAGATCATAGGTGGAGATGTACTGGGATTAAGAGATGGCGATGCCCCAGAGGGCTCTGAACAGAAGGATGAGCAATTTGTGCTGGATCCAGGAGCAAGTGGAAACCCAGTACAGGGTTTTGAGCAAGGCTGTGATATGGCCACCACAGCTGGGGAGATGAGCAATGGTGGCAGCAGAGTGTCAGAGAGATGTGAAGGGATCAAGGAAATGGTTGCAGTGATCAACGCCCAGTTTTTGACCAATGGGCAGAGAGGATCACACGAGTGGAATGTTGTAAGACAGCAGCAGTATCTGTACTAAGAGTGTCATCTCCTGTGTGCCCAATACCTGGTGGTCACAAAAGTATTCCCTCTTTTGTGAAGGTCACTAATTAATAAGTTATGCCTGTTCACCACTTCAAAGCAAAGTGATTAACTGGAACACGCAACATTTCAGTCAACTTCTTCTTCCCCTCGCTTGTGCTTCCAAAGATGGATTTATAGCTTTAATGTGTGAAAAAGAAAGGGCTGGACATCTCCCCCTCCAACACTGGGACAGAAGAATTGGATTTCTGCTTTGATGCGACCCTGCAAGAATTTCTGATGCAGAATCAGAGGATAAACCAAGACAGATCACATCAAATATATGATCACTGGAAAAGGAATTTGCTGAAATACTTACCATCTTCAAACGGGGTTCCCTCAGGCCTGAAAGAGGAGACAGGATGTCAACATCTCACATGCGGTTTGTCACAGCTAATTTAATGTCGAACTGTTGGTCAGCTTCTTAAAAACGACATGCAGCTGAATTTTTTCCAGTCCCAGCATACAGAGTTTGGAGTAAAGAAAGTTCACGGTCTCCAAGAGAACAAACCTAACACAGGCTCACCATTTCCTCTGGCGGTTTCACTATTGTACATCGCCGCTATGAGGCCGCCTCCCCTAGCTGTTACACTGTTCCATCTCCAATTCCACACCCACAAGCCAGGTGCCCATTCAGCACTAATAACAGGAGGAAACCCTCACCTAATCCTCCAAAGTACGGCCTCTCAACACCAACTGCAGAGCTACTGAAGCTGCCCACTTGACTTGCCCATCCTCCCGTCCAACTCCAGTGTACTGCAACTTTTAAGAAAAGATAACCATATGATGGCAGTGTTGTCTCTAATACTCTATGGCAACTACTATTCACTGCAGCGGAATTGGACAAATACTGAACTAAAAAGTGGGCTACATTTGCTTCCTTCTCTGAATAAAAGCAAATAATGCTCATAGTCAAGAGTCTCTGTCAGATATACAGGCAACCTGGAAGTTTTCTAGTCAACACTGAGTCGAGTAGCATGTTACAAAACAACACGGGGAGGCCAACCTGAAGAACACAACCTAAATGCTAAGGAAAGGGAAGGCACATGGGCAATATACACAAATGTGGTTGCATATACTGAAGCTTGGTTTTTAATTAGGATGCAAGAACACTCCTCACAAATGTGTGAATGACAATCACGCCAATGTAATGTTTCTCCTGGTCTCTCAGACAGGGCAAACTGGGACTCCCATACAGACAAGGGGTGATATAGGAGGGAGTGGAACATCTCAGCTCAATGAGAATACGTGTCTGAAGAAAAATCTGCACCCCACTGTATCGATGAAGATCTCCAAGCGGGTTATTCAGACTGTAAATAAAACTTAGATTGCGAAATAACTAAAGATGAATTAAGATCATTTGTAGGTAAAACCTTAAGTAGGAGATGCTTGGCTGAAAATAGTAGCTTCCTACAGCTTGGCAAATAAGCTGGGCAGGCCTCTCTTCAGCACGGGCTCTACCACCAAGGAGGCTGCATTCCCTGTTGCTGCCTACATCATTTCAGCAGGTGGAGTTGCTTAAGCAGCCCTTCTGGGAGCAACAGAACAGTATGTGGAGGTGTGCATACTACAGAGATATGCAGGAAGAAAGGAATGTGCGTTCTTCATCACAGTTCATTCAAACAAGCAGTCCATTTTTGTACAGCAAAGACAAAGAAACTTCCCTTAAAGACAGCTTGCCTGGCGTTATTGAATTCTCCCTTGCTAAATGCAGCCAAACAAAAACATGGTGGTTACAGTCTTTGGTGTGCTGTCAGTATATGGGAGCAACAGTGATACCCTGGTACTGCCCTCTGTAAACACCTTAGGGTGTAATCTTAAATCCTTAGCATAGGACTCATTATGGGAAGGATGCCAAAAAAATTTGAACGCTACCAAGTCTTTGGACAAGGAGATACAGGTTCAAATCCTTGATCAGTCATAAAGCCCACAGGAAACCTCATGCTGAGAGAGGTTACAAACCTCATTTTGCAAAGAAATACAAACACTGGGAGGACTGGGTGGCCAACCGCTGTTTTAAGTGGCCTTGCTTTCTGGCACCACAGAGGCGAAGTGCACCTTTTTCAAATCCCTAGCGCAGGGGAGAAGCAATGGCACACCACATGCTGTCAATGCCATTTCCCTTCTAGTCCAAGACATCAGTACTGCTTTTCAATCCAGAGATGTGACCTGAAGTTTGTGTGTCCCTGCCCTGGGAGCCACTTTACAAGCAGCTTCTTACACTTGTAGCACAACAAGCTGCAGGCTTTTTTGTTGGCCACCACAATTATACTTTCTGGTAACAGGATCTGCACAGCTCCCCAGTGAGTCTACTTATAGGGGTGTCACAAGGCTAAAATGAGAGAAGGATAAAAGAGTTGTGGGTAACACCCCGATCTCTTCATAGGAAGAACAGGAGGCACTTCTGCTGGTATGTGAACTGCAGCCATTCCTGAACAGGGATAGGTTACCCACTGTGATACGTTTATTGATAACCTAGAGCCTGGACTACTGTAGTGCCCTCTATGTGGTGCTGCCCTTGAGACTGGCCCAGAGGATGCAGTTGATACAGAATGGTGTGGCAAAGCTGCTACAGTACAGTACATAACACCTGTGCCGAGAAGAGCTGCGCTGGTTACCAGTTTGCTACCATCCACAGCTCAGGCTATTATAGTGACATAAAGCCCTAAGCAACTTCAGACCAGATTACTGGAAAGACTGCCTCCCACTACATAGACTTATTAGCCACTCCAATGTTCGGGGGAGCTCTTGCTGTCTGTGCCAGCACCCTGCAGGGTCCCATCGGGCTGCAACACAGCGATGGGCCTTCTCTGGGGCAGTGCCCTCCCGCAGAAATGACTTCCCCTGTACATATGCTGGGCAGTAACAATCATGTTCAAGATGCTCCATTAGGAATAATGTCCATGCACACCCTACTAAACTACCTCACAGGATCGTCAGGAAGATTAACATACAAAATTAGTGCTACCAGGAGTCATGTTAACAACTTAGAACTATGCTACCCTGGCTGTGGGCTCAAAGCTGCCTTTTAACAACTGGTCCTTCAAAATGAACATCATTTATAATTGAATTATAAGGGTATACTTCTTGCCAGGGGTTTCAGGTCCACTAATGAGGGTCCTTTTGATGTATGCAGCCTGAGCAAGCCAGCTAATGCTTCCCCCTTTGAATTGATAGTCCACCTCCTAGCCTATAAGGTGAAAAGAGGATCTTCCTGCTTAGCACTTCTCTGCTAAATCTTGCTGGGCGATCACCTGCCCTGCTGGCCGAGGCTGCAGGAGCTTCACAGCAAGCACCTCTGAAAGGCGGCAACAGCACGGATAAGGCCGATTTAGAGCAGCCCTTGCCAGCTCCGATCCCGCTAGATGGTTTGAACGACAACCCCCTCACCCGACCGTGTTCCTGGCTACTGGCCATTTGGCGGGGGACTATGGGGCTTGTCGTCCAAAGCATCTGCAGATGCTAGATTGGAGGCAGTTTTCGAGCCTACCAGGAGTCATTATTTCGTCTTCTTTTCCTCCCAAGCAAAGCAAAGCAAAAAGGGGCGACTGGGAGGCGTGGGAAAGGGGGATCCGGCCCCGTCCGGCCTACTCACCCGAAGATGACCGCGTTCCACACCATGATGTTGTTCTCCGAGGGGGCCCCGCTGACTCCAGCCGGGGGGTCCTCCTGTAGCCTGTGGGGAGACACGGAAAGGGCGCCCAGTCAGGAGTCGGAGCGAACGGGAGCGAAAGTCGCTTCCCCCCCGTCCGCGCAAACGGCGTAGCGCCCCGCTCCCCTTCCACGCGCCGGCGGCGGCCCTGCGCCAGTAGCGGAACGGCGGCACTACGCTAGCGGCGTAGCGCTCCCTCTGCCGCCGCCATGTTGGATCGCCTCACCTTTTTCCTCCCGCCGCCCCCCGCCCCCCGCCGCTCCGGGGTGCCCCCTCGGCGCTCTACCTCTTAAAGTCCCGCATGAGGCGCCTCCGGGCGGGCGTGGACATGGCGGGCTCGCGGTTATGAATCACTCATACACCGGCCCAGGCAAGGCGAGGCGAGAACGGGGAACACAAGACGGCAGCGGCTGGTTCCGAGCGGCTTTCCTGAGCAATAGCGGCCTCTACCACTTTCGCTTCAACAATGGGGGGAGGCGGCGCGACAAACACCGCGGCCTTAACTACGGCGGCGGCGGCGGAGGCTGCTGGGCAATGCCGGGCCGCACCACTGCCTGTGCTGAAGGGGGCGCGCTTTGAGCATAGATAGGAGGCGGTGCTAGATGCAGCCGAATCACGTCGGGCCGTACCACTGTGCAGCTTCAAGCGGGGTTGAGAGAGAAGGGAGGCGGTGCTTCGAGGGAGGTGGCGATGCCAGTAGAAAGAGACGCTGGGAGCGAGCTCGGGAGAAGAGTGGGCGGTGACGCCAACCGAAGGATTCTGGACAATACCAACAGGAAAAGGAGAAACCAGCCAGTCTAGAAGGCTCTTTAAGAGCTTATCGCCCACAGGCTTCTTCTGGGCATTCTCCTCCTTATTGGTCAGCAAGGGATGGGTAGCCACGCCTCTGGGCGGGGCTCATGTCTGGGTTATATAAACCATCCTCTTCCTATGTGTATTTGCGTTTCGCATGAGTAATTGACCACGGTAATTGTAGCCTTAGTATTTCTTTAGGTTAGTTTCTCGTTTTTTAGTTGCTATCATACTTATCAGTATTTAGCGACTGTTCTTAGCTATTTTTTTTTCTGTTTTTCTGTATTTTAATGGACTGTCATAAACTGCCCAGAAAGCTTTGGCTGTGTGGTGGTATAGAGATGAAATTAATAATAGCAGTGATAATCAAATAATTATTGTGGTCGCCATTAGTGGACATTGGGGCACCGAGCCTCTTTTTGCTCAAAGGCTGAATGGCATTTCCTTGGGGCTGCATGCCAGTGGAGAAAGAAGGCCAAGGGGGTGTGACAAATTCAGTTGTTCAGTGGCCATCTGAGGTTCTGTATCCCTACGTCGTTCTTTTTCTACATGGTGCCTACCAGGGGTTTTGCAGTACAGACCCCAGCATCCACATTCTGCATGCTGATGGAAACTGAAGTCCAGGACCCCTGGAAGGAATTACACAGTTATATAAACCACGGTTTGGGAGCAGTCCAGAATACTTGCAATTGGTCCTGCATTCAATTTACTTTTTTAATTATGATCAGGACCCTTTAGTATAAACAGGGTCTAGATTATTTAATAGGCTTATTATTTTTGTAATTGGCCATCAAAACAGTCTATTTAATATTTTCGTTTGAAATGTATCAGGTAGACAACTTATTCTCATTAGCCCATGATTTTCATAATACACCACTGGAGCACGCACAAAGAAACACACACACAGAATTTACTCAGATACAAGTTACAAACATAAAGGAAGGGTAGAAGGCAAGACTGGATCTTAAACATATCTGTGTGATTTACTATTCATTGGCAAGAATTTATGACTCCCTCCAAGCACTTATGGACTGCCGAAATGACAAAAGCTTGGGGTAATCAGAAGTGGATTTTGCTGCTGAAATGTTATGAGCTCCATTCAGTTCTAATGCTAGTTTGTGTGCTGATACAGAAAAAAAAAAGTTTAATGCCCAGCATGTGGCAGCCAGCCACGCTAATCCTAAATATCCATATGGTTGCATCCCAAATTGTAAATAGATATTGCAACAGCTACTCAAGACAAATCAAAGACAAACAGAATTACTTGAATGTCAGATATGTGGGTTTTTGCACCATGATATGGCAGGTAGATCTTAGAATTCTGGACAAAACAAAGTAGATTCTGAAAGTCTGAAATGTGGCCAACCCTGATATTTGTGTGCTGAATTGTGGATGGGAAGGTTTCAACCCAACACACATTTCTTTGACAGCCCCCCTAAATTTGTATGTCATCTCCTGTGGGCTGGGACCTGCTTAATCGTGTCTCGTGGCCTAACTTCTAATATAGGGTTGGACAACCAGTGGGTCTGCACATACTTTGGCTTACAACTCGAATTATTCCTCACCTATGACTATGTTGGCAGCTATGTGGCTAGGACAGAAATTGTAGACATTGCCAGCCTAGTTTAGTTTGTCATTAAACTGTTTTTTCACCACCTTGAAAGATATTGGCTCAAAGGCAATCTAAAAAAATTTGAAAAAGTGATTAATAAAAGTAAAACCAACTACTCCCTAGTTCTCAGTCACAGATATAGATCCAGTGTGACACCAGTGAGATGTCTTCATTTAACTGATGCAAGTAACATGACAAAAAAGCTGCTGTTTTAAGCATTAACATACAACTTTAGGGGCATAGAGGCTCCCAAAGCAGTTTAAAGTTTAGATCCAACCAAATAGCATCAACAAGGACGATGCAATGTGACACAAGCAGAAACACAGAAACAGAGCAAGTCAGAATGGGTCTCCTGGGCCATCTAGTCTGACCCCTGACTGCAGCCGGCTCTGCTCATGAAATACCTACCATGTGCATGTCCAGCCTAAGTAAATAAGAATTTTTATAAAGCCAGAAATACCCATCAGTGTTTTCCTTTTTCTTTTTAGGTCTTATCTTTGGAGACTATAAACCTGAGAGTGGACATCATGTTATTAATCTGTAACCTGATCTGGGAACGCAGGGTACTGGTTTGTAATTTTATGCAAGTTTGATGGAAGAAAAGCCTACAACGTCCATCATTCGCTGCAGGCCACCAAAGTGCTGGTGAGGCATGCTTTTTTGGTATAAACATACAAGTGGTTACACACCAAAGGTTGTGCTCTTCAGGTGCACTCTTATGCATGTTCAATTGGGAACAAATTGTGCGATTTCCAGCACTCCTTAGAGTTGTGATGCTTTTTTCTGTTTTACCATGCAGGAAGTCGGCCTCCGTAAAGGTTAAAATGTGGCCCTTGATTTTAGAAAGATTGCCCACTGTTGCCATGTGCACATTTCCCTGAGAGCAAGTATCTTCCTGGCCAAAGGGTAAGTGCTTTAAAGCACAATCCTGTGCATGTTTGGACAGGAAAAAGGTGCTGGGAGTGGTGGGGTTTTTTCCTTTCTAAACACACATAGGATTATGCCATGAAATGCATAAATAAATAAGCTAAATGAAACCATCCTAAAAAGCTGAGACCTCTGGACAGCCATGAGTAAGTGCTGTGCAATTATTAATTGCTGTGCAATTAAATGTGACACCTGATGTGTCCCTAATCACATTTGGGTTTGTTAATTTCAAATCAATAAACAACATATCACTAAATAATGTTAAAATAGGTTTCTCATGTAACGGTTTGACATATTTTTGATTTTGTTGATATTATGTTTTAGGTTGTTTGTTGTTATTTGTTGCTTGCTTATTATAGTTTTGGTAAGCTGTCCTGGGACGACTTTCGTATAGGACAGGATATGAATATTTAAAATGAATAAATAAAACATGATACAATTGCAGCTTGCAGATGGATGGATGAAGCTGAAATAACGAGCTAGTACTGTGATAATGATGAATAAATCGGCACTCTGATGCGCACAGATGAAATATGGGTGCAACACTAACATGGTGAGAGGACAGGAAAACAAATGGGCTGGCCTGGTTTCTGTGCAGGGAAAGGAGGACACAGTCCTACGCATGCTCGTTATGATTACATCAGTGATCCTGCCTGCCTTCTTCTTGCGAAGACCCTAAGGGGACTTGGAAGGTGTTCCTCTCCCTTTTCACCTCCTAACAGCCACCCTGCGAGGTAGGCTAGGCTGACTCAGCTGTTGGTCCAAAGTCACCCAGTGAGAGTCAGTCCTGAGATGGGACTAGAACGGGGATCTCCCGAGTTGCAGCAGATGCTCTGTTGGGAAAGAGACGGGGGAAGAGCCACGGTGCTTGGCACCCGCAGCCGGCTGCCGGGAGCTGCAGGCTTCCCCCCGCCGGAGCGCGCCTTCCGCGCCCGAGCACGGGCCGTGCGTCAACGGGTCGCCACGCGGGAGCCACCGGCGCCTTCGGCCTGCGCCGGGCGGGGCGTCGCCGCGCCGCGCTCCGGCCTTCCAGGGGGCGGCGCCGGCGGAGGGGCGGCGCGCCCGAGGAGGCGGCCCCGGGCGCGCCGCCTCTCCGCCGCCGCCGCCGCCATCATGCCGAAGGTGGTGTCGCGCTCCGTGGTGTGCTCGGACACGCGCGACCGCGAGGAGTACGACGACGGCGAGAAGCCGCTGCACGTCTATTACTGCCTGTGCGGGCAGATGGTGCTGGTGCTGGGTGAGCGCGGGGCCCTCCGTCGCCTGCACGGCCGGGGCAAGCGGCGAGCCCCCTCGGCCCTTCCTCGGGGGGGCTTCGGGCCGGGACGGGCGACGCGCTGAGGGAGTGGCTGCGTTCGGGTGCCTGTGTTGCTCTAGAGTAGGCCCAGGGCTCCCTCCTCCCCCGCCACTGGGACCAAGGCCTTCCATCACCTATTTTGCTAAGCCCCAGCAAGTTCAGGGATGCTTTCCCCCAAGCTTGCCCTCCTGTGCATTCATGGACCGAAAACGGCCTTGCAGCTCCCAGCATCGCTCCAGCTGGGCATGCTTGGGAGCCCTGGAACGTTTTTCCTGGCTAAACAGGATTGCATCTTGAGCTTGTAGTCCTCAAAGCACTACTTGATCTGGTCTCAAATCCTGAATCGGCTCAGAAGAAAACCCCGTTCATTTAAATTTTAAAAAGGAGTAAACAGATTCTTAGGATCCTTCCAAGTTTACAGCATGACTCTGTAATGAATGGATGATGCAGGGAGCATTAGCTGGCCAGGATGTCGCTCTTGTGGCATGAAAGAGTGGCTTCTCCTTCAATTCTGCTCCTCTCTTTCTGATTTCTTGCAGACTGTCAGCTAGAGAAGCTGCCCATGAGACCCCGAGACAGGGCCCGAGTGATCGATGCTGCCAAACATGCGCACAAGTTCTGTAACACGGAGGAGGAGGAAAATGTTTACCTCCGTCGGTGGGTAAATCCAAATCCTCAGAAACGTGCTGTGCTTGCATAGCCTGCCTTCAAGATGGGGATTTCTCAAGATGTTTTTCCACCCAATGCATCCCCCTCCCCTGATTCCACATATAGAAGCTGCAGTAGAACCTTATTTCAAAGCTGGTAATGGAGTCCCATCCTCTCCCCTATTTCTGCTGCCTGAAGAGGCAGTGTCGCTCTGCCTGATATTAGGGCCGTCCCTGCTTGTAATCAAGTCCATAAAAGTTTTAAAACATTGCTATGTTTTTAAAACTACCTGCTTATGAAAAGAACAAGATGGTTTATTCTGAGCTGTTGCCATGTGTGAACCCAGTGATACTGCTGCAGACAACAGTTGGTTGTTGGGTTGTGAGCTTCCTTGCTTCTGCTGGGGAAGGTGGGTGGGTTGTCACTGTGTAGGAACCCAGAACCACGGTTTGTTACGTGGGTTAATTCACCATACTACAGAGGCAGCAAGAAGAGTGGTGTATTAAAAGAAAGTCATCGCACATGCTCGTGCAACCGTGCCACAAAGGCAGTTAGGATACAGAGAGGAACAGGTGAAAGAGGAGGGAGACAACCTGGAGACAACCTAAGAAAAAAGGTTTGTTCTGTCATCTTCCAGACAAACCCTGAGTAGGACAGCAAGCAATGGATTAACTATGGGTTTACAAAGCTGTGGGACGTGCAAACCAGTTTTCCATGTGGGTATTGTCCTCTTTTCACAGTCTTGTGTATTTTCCTCCCACAGGCCAGAGGGTATTGAGCGTCAATATAGGAAAAAGTGTGGAAAGTGAGTATCTTCTGTGGGATGCATTGCCTGGGCACGGTAGGAAGGGCAGCATACTGTGGGTTTCGTGTGTCTTGTACCAATCTCCACGTTCATGATTATGAAATAAAAAGTTACCAGTACCAGTGCAATGTGGTGATTAGTAAGCTGATGTCCATCTCTCTTGAAGTCAGGTGCAGTCAAGTTGCTGCTGACTTACGGCGACCCTATGAATGAACGTCCTCCTTTCCTGCTCAGCTCTTCTAAGTTCAAGGCTGTGGCTTCCTTGATGGAGTCAATCCATCTTCTATCCTTTTCTTCTGCCCTTGACTTTCCTTTGCACGACTGTCTTCTCCAGAGAGCCTGGCCTTCTCATGATGTGTCCAAAGTATGACAACCTCAATTTTGTCATTTTTGGTTCTAGGGAAAGCTCTGGCTTGATCTGCCCCAGGACTCTCTTGTTGGTCTTTATCTCTTCCCCAGCACCATGTTTAAAACGCATTAATCTTCTTGTCCAGTTTACACACTCTTGCATGTGTAAACACTACGCCTGTATGGGAATACAGTAGTGTGAATGATCTTGGCTTGCTCGCCAATTAAATGACCATAGATTTGATGATCTTTTCTAAGTTCTTTCCAAATCTCAGTCTCAGATTTCTTGGCTGTAGTCTTCCTTTGAATTGATGATTGAGTCAAGGCATGTACAGTCTTCCACAATTTTTATTTTTTCATTTCTGACATGAACATTGTGTGGTCATTATTTTTGTTTTCTTAATGTTCACTTCCAGTCCTGTTTTAGCGTTCTCCTTTCACATTCATCAGAAGTTATTTCAAGTTGTGGTTGCTTCCCGCCAGTAATATGGTATCATCTGCATATCTTAAATTATTGTTGTGTCTTCTACCTGTTTTTCACACCTTCCTCTGCTCCTAATCCAGCTTTCCTTGCAATATGTTCTGTGTACAGGTTGACCAGAAAAGAGATTAAATACACTCTTGTCTGACACCAATGCCTTTCCCCCCCTTATTCTGTCCTCATGGTAGCTTCTTGCCCACAATACAGGTTATACATCAGGACAATCATGGCAAACCCTTTCCTTTCAGGACTATCTCTAGCTTCTATGATCCAAACAGTCAAAGGCTTTCCTGATCTTCTGAAATTCTTTGGCGTGCTCCCATAACCAATGTATATTTGCAATACATTTTCTAGTGCTTCTTCCTTTTCGAAATCCAGCTTGACCATCAGGCATTCCTTGCTCCATAGAGGGTAATATTCTTTGGTGCAACACTTCAGGCATCACATTGCTTCCATGGGAAATTAGTGCAGTGGCTCTGGGTGCTGCACTCGTTTGCTTCTACTTTCTTGAAGATTGGGGTGTATGTTGAATGTTTCCATTCTGTGGGCCACTGTTTAGTTTTCCATATTTGTTGGCATGCTCTTGTTAGGATTTGGACCAGTTCCTTCTCTCCAGTTTGAAATAGTTCTGTGGGTGTCCTGTCTACTCCGGGTGCTTTATTCCTTCCAAGGGTCTTCAGAGTTGCTTTCACTTTGCCTTCTGATATTGCACGCTCTTCCTCAGAGGATTCCTCTCCAAAGGAGTCTGCCATCCTTTAATCTCTTCTGTATATTCTTTCCACCTTCTGTTTATTTTCTCCTGCTCAGATAGTATGTTCCCTTGTTTGGCTCTCAGTTCTCCTGATCTAGATTTGAATATCCCTTTGATTTCTTGGATCTTCTAGAAGAGGTTTCTTGTTTCCTCTCTTTTGTTGTTTTATTTAACGAGGTACATGCCTGACTAATTGCTTTGATTCTTCAGGAATGTTGAATTCTAGCAATCCATTAATTCTTTTCTATGCGGGAGATAGAAACATGTGATATTTTCCTCCCTAGGTGTGGTCTACTTCTCTTTTACCAACACCAGAAAAAGAATGTCCCGGTGACATTTATTGTTGATGGTGCTGTGGTCAAATTTGGACAGGGATTTGGGAAAACCAACATCTACACTCAGAAGCAAGAGCCACCCAAGAAGGTAGAGAGCAGAAGGATGTTTTCCACCATTGGTTTCTTGCTTGGGGGAAGCCGTTCTTGCCCAGCTGCTAGGGAATGATTGCAGGTGAGGCCTGACGGCTTCACACTCTGGACTTGCTGCTGGATTCTGGTGGCCTTGAGGGGAAACCAGGCCTCTGGTTATGACAAGAGATCATAGACCAGTAGCACTGGAAGGGGCCAGAAGGCCACCAGGTCCAACCCCCTGCTCAGTGCAGGACTCCACATTGAACCATCCCTCTCAGGCGGCTGTCCGGCTGCATCTTGGATGCCTCCAGTGTGGGGGAGCCTACAGGCTCCCTGCGTCTCTGGTTCCATTGCCCAACTGCTCTAACAGTCAGGAAGTTCTTCCCGACATTCAGCGAGAACCTGGCTTCCTGTAACTTGAGCCCTTTATTCCATGTTATTCCAATACTGACTCTTTGGGGCAAAGTGTGGCAGCAGCCTTCCCCAACCTGTTGCCCTTCAGATGTTTTGAACTTGAGCTCCCATCCACCCCAGCCAGCATGGCCAATAGTCAGGGATTATGGAAGTTGTAGTTCAGAATATGTGCAGGGGATGAATCTGGATTTTGGCATTTGCAGTGGGCTGGTGAGTGGACTTTCTTCTGTTTGGGGCCACCAAGGGACTCTGCTGAGTGGTGTGTGCTGGATGAAAGAGGGGAATCCTTCCCGATGTGACAGGCAACTGGGAGAGGAGCCTCTGCAGCTGTGAAAGATGTCTCCTGAATCCAAACCCAGATTGCCTGTCCTTGTTCTAGAGGAAGCCCACCAATTCTGTTGTGCTGTCAGTATTAGGTACCAGAGCTGTGAACTAGAAGACAGGATCTTCTGTAATGTCTAAGTGAAAGAACCCAATTAAAAATAGTTAAAAGCCCCTCTTTGCTTCCAAGGTGATGATGACCAAACGGACCAAGGACATGGGCAAGTTCAGCTCTGTCACCGTCTCAACCATTGATGAAGAGGAGGAAGAGATTGAAGCAGTGAGTTTTCCACGTCCTTCTCTGCAGTAGCCGGCGCAGTCTAGGTTGCCTAGAGTTTTCAAGAGTTTTCTCTTGGAAAAAGAGAGCCAAGATGGGCCTGTTAGTCTCTCGGTGTTTTTTTTTCCGTGCGTTTCTTGGTGTGCATATCTGGCATAGAATAACCTGTCGTTCCACGTCTCTGGTGTGTTTTCCAGCGAGAAATTGCTGATTCATACGCACAGAACGCCAAAGTGATTGAGAAGCAGCTGGAGCGCAAGGGCATGAGCAAAAGGCGGCTGCAGGAGCTGGTGAGCATTCCTGTCCGATGTTCTTTGCTCTCTCTCCCATTTTGCGGGATGGTTCGATGTCACGATTGTTCTTGCACGAGCTTTCTGCTTAAACTGCATGTCTTCAAAGTACTTCGAAAGCCTTCCTCTGTATGGTGCCTCCTTGATGTTTTAGATTTGAACACCTGTGGGCCCCAGGCAACATGGCCAGTGGTCAGGGATGCTTGGAATCGTAGTCTAAAACATCTAGGTTTGGGTAAGGCTGCCATACAGACTGGTTTCACACAATGCAACACCCCGCAGCTCTTTGGGGAGCTCATTCCAACGCCTGGTGCCACAACCAAAAAGACATTTTCCTGGAAGCCACTTGCTCTGGAAGGGGCTCCTAGAGAAGGACCCCCAAAGATGACCCCAGAGTCTGAGCAAGATACATGCAGGAGGAGGCGATCCTTCAGACAACCTGGCTCCAAACATTAGGGCTTTGAATGTTAGTCGTTTTAATTTTACTTTTTTTTTTTCCAATCAGGCTGAGCTGGAAGCCAAGAAAGCCAAAATGAAAGGAACTCTCATTGACAACCAGTTCAAGTAAGAAACAGCAAGACAGAGGAGGGGTTGAGCGGTGTCCCTTCTGGAAAAGAAAAGGAAGATAAGAGAACAGCGCTACATCGCTTGCCTGTTTTGGGCCATCTGTGGAATCCAGACATCTCTGTTCAAAGGCACATTGGCGATGTCCACTTGCTAAATGGAGCTGCTTTGCTTCTGTTCATGGACTTCATATTTATTCTGTGACATGCGCTGCGTGTTTCACATCTTCTGAGACCTTTTGGATTTACATACCTAAGAAGTGCCTTGCCTTGAATTTCTTGGTGAGCGAAGCAGCCATCCAGAAGGGATGTGTGCAGGGGCATTTGGTTGGCTCTATGGTGCCACTGTTAAACTTCGTATATGTTAATATGTACATAGAACGCTGACACATCTTAAGCTTGATTGGGAAGTTAGAAATAAAGTGTGCAGAAAAATAAATCTATTCCAACTTACATTTATGTGTTTTGTCTTTCTCACCCTTCAGTGCCCCCTTATGACTCTTGGACTCTAATTTTCTTTGGGAATGAGGTTTGAGGGCCAGAGGCCTGACTTGACAGCATGCAGGGTACTTTTCAGCCCCCCACATGATGCAGTTTTGGAGCTGACCCCACAGTTTCCTTCTCTTCTTCCAGGCGCCCCACAAAGACTGGAAATTAATTCACAGACCACTTCTGCCTTTGGGAGTTCGGAGAGTTTTATTTTTTGCTCCCAGGCAGTCTTTTGATCCAGGTACCAAAAACACTTCAGGGCCAAACTACATGTGACTTAGATACTGCTTCCCTCTGGTGTGTGTGTGAAAGGGGGTTAATGCAAATTACATTAATTGCAGGAGAGATCAGCAATAGGATCAGAACAGGCATAATAGAATGTAACCCTTATTTTACAGGCTGTAGACCTGAACAAAACCCTTCCAAAGCTCACACTGGGTTTTGGGGGTGTATGCCTGCAGGGGTGAAGCTGCCTTTGTCTAGTTTGGCCCTGAAATCTACTTAAGAAGTGGAAATACCATGGGCACTGTCTTTTCCAAATAGTTAAATCTCTTAGGTACAAACTGCACATTAACATGGTAGAGCAGAAGTAGATACAACTGTTCCTTTTTGTAACGTAAAAGCTATCTTGGGGGAATCCAAAGGAGCTTGGAGCATTGTTGAGACAATTTTTCCTTCTGTGTCATTTCTCTAAACGATAACTTCTTGCCCCACTGGGGAAGTTTGCACGTTACCCAGCTGAGGGAAATGGCGGTGGTAAGTTGGCAGAGGGCTGAGGAGCTATTTGGGGTTGTCAAAGAGTTCTTGCGTGTACAAACATCCTGTTTTTTAAATCAGCATAAAAACAAATCATTCTCCATCACAGCAGAAAAGATGCGCAAAGAGGGCAAGAGAGGGGGGAATCTTCTTTAAGAGGATGGAACAACACTCTTAGTCGAGAAGATCATGTTACTGGGACATGCAGTTTGATGCACTGGGCTAGAAAGCAAAACTACCCGGTTAACCCAAGCCAGAGAAATCCAGTTGTTTTGACTGTAACAGATCTAGTTTCATCGTTCTTGCTAAGAGATGCTGACAGTGAAAATAATAGATGGAGAGTTGTGGCATTCATACAAGTATACATTTAATTTTTCATTCACCCAAAAAGCACAATTGCAGTTGCAATGTCTGGCCAGCTGAGGGCTTCATGGGACAACTGGAAAAATCCAAGGGGAACAATCCAGTTAGTTGGCAACATTGTTAGAAATGCGCCCATGAGGGCTAGAGCCCCAAACTGATTTATCAGTGCCTGGATCTAGTGCACAGAGGCCTGGCTGCTTTTTCCTTTTTCAGTCTATAATCTAAGACATGATTTGCAAGGGAAAGCAATTTGGAGGGAAGAGTTAAAAACACTGAGGCTACAGTTCTTTGTCCCAGAGTTTTGTATACCGTGGTGTTATTCATGTCCGGTTGCGAATTTCACATAGAATGTGAAATGCTAGAGCAGATGGAGCTTTTGTTTTTAAAAGGTATGCTATTGCATGGGGCCTTCTGCTATCTTAAATTGGAGCCCAGATTTTCCAGGAGGAGTTAGTACCATTGAGTTCAACGTTCTGGGGAAGTCTGCCCTTAAAAAGGGTATGTTTGATGGGTGAGCTATCTTTTGATACTTACAACTCTGCCTGCGTTAATGCTTTGCATATGTTTCTCCATCTCACCTATTTTATCCTCACGACCCTGGAAGGGATAATAGAGAAGGGTCTAGGGAGGGAGAGAGAAATTGACTGTGAATGTCTGTCCCAAAATCAAATTGTCTCATGTATAGGTCAGATGGACAGTCCAGCTAGTATCGGATTCTTTGGTGCTCCTGAACCTAATCAAACATTGCTTGGAGTAGTCCTTCAGAGAGAGAAACCACTGGGCATCCCATAGGAGAACAAGCTATAACACAAAAATATTACAAAAACCCCCCATGCTGCCGGTTATCTATTGCCTTCTGTTCACAAAACTTTAAAAATATATATTGAAAGAATGCTAGTTTTGTGCACATGTTGCAGAGTTTCCCTGTTTTAAGGACATGTGCCTGTACATATTAATAGTCACCGCATTCGTGCAATATGTACAACCTGCAGCATTTCACCTGTTTCCCTCCCTCGTTGGTGCAGCAGGGCCAGGGCCGGGCTTGCTGACAGAGGCACCAGCAAATGCGGAGCTTTCGCTACCCAAGTCCAGACCACTCCCTGGCTGCTCATATCTCCTTAAAAGGCAATCCAGCCGTGGAGAGGAAGGCTGCTCTGGCCGATGCATGACCTTCAGTCAGGTGATGATGAAAGAGAGCGAGGGAAGGGGAAAAGCCTGTGCTGCTCTCTCCGTGAAGGTCGCTGGGACAAGGTGGAAGCAAAGGCTGTGCCAGAAGCCACGCTCTCTGGCGGCCGAGTGCCTTGGTGCGGTTCGCATGAGCAGCAGGGAGGTGGGGTTGTTTGTCCGTGTCTCTGGCCAGTCCTGGTCTCAGCTCATGCAGTTGCTACAGCCTGTCCTGGACTTTACGACTTTGCGGCTGTGGGGGGAAGTGGAGGCTCCGTGCTGAAAGACTCCCTCCACGCACACCCAAAGATCACACAGTATGGAGAGGGCTGAATGCCTTTCTGAAATGCTTGTGTCAGGCCTGCGTGTCTGAGTGTGGCATTTGAATCAGGGACCAGTCTTTGCTTCTCAGCCTCACAGGGATGCTATGAGGATATAACGGCTGGAGGTCTATGGACTCTTCTTGGAGGAAGGGTAATGTTATCATATAGAGAGGCATTGACTGTCCTTTGTTTGAAGGACTGTTCAGTCCAAGTCCAGTTTTGTTGTTGTTGTTAGTTGCAAAGTTGCGTCGGACCCATCGCGACCCCATGGACAACATTCCTCCAGGCCTTCCTGTCCTCCACAATCCCCCGGAGTCCACTGAAGCTCATGCCGACTGCTTCAGTGACTCCATCTAGCCACCTCATCCTCTGCCATTTCCTTCTTCTTTTGCCATCTATTGTTCCCAGCATTAGGCTCTTCTCCAGGAAGTCCTTCCTTCTCATTAGGTGGCCAAAGTATTTGAGTTTCCTCTTCAGTATCTGGCCTTCTAAAGAGCAGTCAGGGTTGATCTCCTCTAGGACTGACTGGTTTGATTGCCTTGCGATCCAAGGGACTCGCAGGAGTCTCCGCTAGCACCACAATTCGAAGGCCTGAATTCTTTGGCGCTCAGCCTTCCTTGTGGTCCAACTTTCACAGCCATACATTGCAACTGGGAAAACCATACTCCTCACTATACGCACTTTTGTTGGCAGGGTGATGTCCGGTTTAATGGATCCTAAAAAGCAAGAGCAGGAGTCCCACCATAAAAGTCCCAACTGTCCAGGGTACTTGGTCACTTTTTCCTTTATGGTGAAAGGTATGTTTACAATTATTATTCCTGGCCCACCAAGTAGCCAAAGCCCTTTAGGCAGTTCACAGACTTAAAAGCCTAAGATATAACATGATAAAGCATAATAGAAAACCTCTCAAGTTTCAAAGGGCAGATAAATACCTATATGTTGCTTTGTCCTCTTTTCTGGTTCTGTCTTGGTGATACATCAACAGTTGCCCTACGTGATGACAGGCATGAGAAAAGTGGACAGTATTTCTGTACCAAAATAATACAATAATATCCTGGCACTTGGGAGCAAGCAAGAGCACCAAAGCTGCTGTTGCTTGTAATGGTGGTGAATACCTGAACATCAGATTTGCTAGAAAATGAATGACTATATTTCAAAAGGAATCAAAGTTTCAAGTGACAAACCAGATAAAATTATGAACCTTTTGATGGATACTAGCAAATCAGTCCTCTAAACTCAGTCAGGGGGAAAAAACATTATAAAATGTTAACAATAACAACAACAGTAAAGAATTGGCCAGATAAAAATGAAGCAAAAACAACCAAGATTGCCCCAAGAGCAATTTCATTTGAAACATAGTTATTCACTATTATTATTTTTATTATTATTATTTTTATAGAGCAACAGGTGCACTGAGTCTCCCGTGCCTCAGTAGCAGTGTGTGTAGACGGTCCCAGGAGAACAACTACCAGTTATGTAGAACTCACATCTCTGCCTGGGCAGGAGATACTGTAGCTTCCTATGACTCATGGAAGAGAGTATGGCCATAACTATGACCCAACTCAGAACAGCAACAAACCTCAGACAGATTCTTCCCCCAGAGAGCTTAAATGCAGTATGGTTAAATAAAGGAATCCATGCAGAATCTCCGCATTCTAAAACACTGTGAACCAACCGGTCTCTCCTCCATCCTTCAGGTCTCCACCATCTCAGCCAGCCAGCATGGCCAATGGCAGGAAAGCGTGGAGTTGCAGTCCAGAGCATCTGGGGCCACTGCGCTGGGGTAAGCCTGGCTGACAGTGTTTCAGGTTGTTAGGATTCTGAATGCAGTTCTTTGCTTAAAATATTGTATTTCCATAAGTGCCGTACCCAAATGAATAGAGGTGAAGAGCCTGAACTGAAATAAGAGACAGTCTGCAAGGTGTCTGGAGATCCTCTGTCCTGTCTATAAAACTTCAGAGAGCAGGGACCAGGTGTGGCCGGACAGGTATGTTTTGAAGGACACAGTGCTCCCGATTGACGGAGCTGAACCTGCTGGGCGACTTGTTGCACAAGACTTCAGCGCTGCAGGAACGAACTTCTGTGTCTGTCTGGGTTTGGTCTAATCCAAACAGCACAGTTGATAGTCAAAAAAGGCATGGCTCCAAACGTGTGCCTGCCAGCCCCGCTTCCTTTTCATTTCTTACTGCAACCCTGACTAAGCCTCCTTGTGCTCGATCAGGGCCTGCCCGTTCCTGAGAACAAAATGGGAAGGAGTGAGATGCAGCTGGTGCTCCTAGACACACATTTAAAAGAATGGGTCTTTTGGCCCTAAGACACTACCAAGATGTCTTGCTTTTCTGCAGTGTAAGTCAAAAT